ATTATGAGCTTTTCTGGAAGAGAGGGAACCATTGTGAAAACATGAGAGTTGTAATAAAGGGAATGACCTGAAACTAAAACTAAGTTGCACACCCAATTAAATCCATCTATTTAAACAGCCATTGTCTTAAAAGTGGCAGAGATTTTGCTGCAGTTTGTCATCAGTGACTCAAAGGTCTACAGGTGTCAGACCAAGGGGTGAAAGGAGCTCATATGATTGGCCATAATATCCCCCAACAGACCAATAGATGATGTATTGTACTGTATAATGTATTATCCAGCACCATACAGTATTAGGTTCAATATTTTTAGTCTCACTGAATAATTAGAGGCTGACTAAATATTCAGAAAAGTGCAACCATGCGTAAAATAGTTTGACTAGCATGTCCCCTCATTGGTTATAATTAGTTCAGTTGTTATGTTATTGTTCAGCTCATTGCAGTTTCCTGTGTTGCTTCTCATTGTGTCGTTCTTTTTACGAGGTGAGTGTGTGTGTGATTGAGTAATGAATAAATTGTAACATTTCTGTTTTTCCCACCTTACACCCCCATACACTATTCACCATTTAAACCACTAATTCTGTAGCCCATTGTGTATAGTCCTGACAAGCTATTAAACTCATTTTTATCCACCACAATGGCTCTCTCAATTTCTCCCTCCCTCCCTCACTCAGGCTCCCACTCCCGACAGTCTCCAAAATGTCATACTTTCATAAAGTTGTTCGGAGTTTTAAGTTGCTCAGTCATGGTTGTGCTTGTTATTTGTACCTATCCATTTATTCTTCAAAAGAAAAACTGAACTTTTTCCCAAATATTGGAGGTCATGAGGAAAACAGGAGACACATGAAAAGAACAATTGATGAAAGGGGAAAGAGGTAAAGACAGTCATCATAAATGTGTCATTTTCTGGATGGGTCAATGCCTGTCCGCAAAATAAGGGCAGCAATAAAAGACTGATGACGTGATGTTGGTCTTTCTGTCAGTCTATTCATGGTTCCTTGAACATGATTTTGGTAACCTCCCTACAATTTTGTGTAGCATCGCTGGTCAACCTGTCAACTTCACCCTACCTGAGGGTAATTCTTATGCACTGGGCTAACTTAGTAGTGAAATTAAAACATTCCCCATTGTTTCTGGGGTCCCCATGATGCTGCTTGTTAGCATGATGATGTTAGCATTTAACTCACCGCACCATTTTGCTATATACAGTATAGCCTCAAAGCATGGGTGTAGGATCTTAGTGTTGTTCAGTAACAGTTTAAAACATCACCATTACATGAATGAATGAGAGCCACTATATCCTCCACCGTATAGATTGAAGACAAAGGGTGCTGCGATTACATGATGAGAACCTCTGCGATGACTGCATCCAGAAAACCACTCAAGGAGGTGGTGGCTCAGTTATGGTATGGGCCGGTATTTATCATGGAGGAAAAACGCCATTGGTAGTGCTGGATGGAAACATCAACGCCGTTGTGTACCGGGACGTCCTGGAGAACCATTGCCTCCCACATGCAAGAAGGATCTATGGGAACAACTTTAGGCTGCAAGACGACAACGCAGGAGCACATAGGGCAGCTGTAGTGACAGAATTTCTTGATGCAGAGGAGGTGCCATGGCCTGCTTGCTCCCCGATATGAACCCTATCGAGCATGCCTGCGATGTCTTAGGCTGAGCCCTTAATGAGAGGGACAATATTCCTCAGAGTCGACAGGAATTAGCCCCGGGATCTGACCCATTGATGACATCAACAAGCTTGTGGACAGTATGCCACGATGTCTTAACGCATTGATCCATGTCAGGGGTGGCCATACTACATATTAGTGACTGAGTGACATTTAAAAGAGTAATATTGGACATTCTTATGCATGAAATACCCTCAAATATGTGTTTCCTGTTAAATTGATCGAGGTTGAAAAAGCCCCTTAACCCTTTTGTTCAATACCCCCAATTTTGTTTAAGCCTGAAAGCACAGTTTGCAAAGGTTGATTGTGGTTTAATTTTCACTGTGGTGTGTTTGGAAGAGATTGATCAATAAAGTTTTGAGAAGATATACACTTTATCTACCAAGAATAAATCACATTGTCACAATCATTTCATGAGAAGAGGTAAAAAATATTTTATTCCAACCTTATGGACAACAGTGTATATATAAGTTACACATAATTTACACCAGATCATGTGTGAACCATGATCAGTATCAGATATGATGTTTAAAATTGGAACAAGTTACACTCACTGTTATATTTAGCAGTAGAACATTAAAAGTCTCTCAGTTTCTATCTGGTTTGTAGTCAGACAATCTGTACAACATGCCCAGATTTTAATAATACATTGCCTCTAAAAATCAAACTCGTTCACAGAAGTAGCACTGTGCTCACAGCTAAACTGAGCAGTGAATGTGGCTAAGTGAGGGGTGCAGCATGTGTAAATGAATATTAACACCGGTCACATACCCCCTTGAGGTCAGCAGACACGCAAAATACACCTCACACACACACACACACACACACACACACACACACAGATAGAAATAACACACAGAGTTCACAATTAGTGTTCTCGTGCAATGTGCTGCTGCAAAAGTGCAATTCGCTGCAGGTCACAGGGGTATCCAGGAGCCCTAGAGACCCTCAGAGCAAGGCGTAACCTCAGTGTGTAACTATTAATGTGTGCAGGGGGTGCATGGGGTGCAGGGCACAGGACTTTCTGTCCTTCTCATTACATGAAAAAAAGCAGAAGAAAAGTAGAGCCTTTCAAAGTCAGTAAATCACTTCATTTTTTTTTTAATGTTTTTGTCTGGAACATTGTGAAGTGATGACAAACTAAAATACTGCTTATCAGCCAAACGCCTCACATTTTGTTCTCATCGTTCTTCTTGGACCACTGAATGAAGTCGTCACAGTGATGTTACATTCTGACAGAAATCCTTGAGACTTCCATGACACCCCCGGGGAAGTGATGCTGCCCTTATCAAGTGGAGTAATGCAGCAAGGTCCCCTTACACTTGATAAAACACTGACAGAATACTGATAGACATCTCCCTTTGGATAGCAGTCACTCTTCTAAGCCCTAATTTAAGTTCTAAAGGTCATACACAGAATATGACTGTAAAATTATCAATCATCTAAATGCATTGAGGGGTCTACAGGGAGTATTAATAATAAATGAAAGCGGATAGCTCATAATATGTGAAGGAGAGAGGAAAAGACAGAAAGCTGTTTGGATAACATGATTTTGTGATACTAATAATAGTTAATATCGCTTTCTTTCTGATTAGCTAATGAAATTAGATACCAAGACATTGCCACCCTAACCGCTGGAAATTGCCACCAATTCATATCAACAGGTTTATTCCGAATCCCTGAATGTTTTTTTTTGATAAGACATTTGCCTTATAATCAGCATTTTCTTATGCTATCAGTATGCACAAAGATTTAGCCTTTGGTTAGAAGATTCAAACAGATTTCCCAGTTTGTTCTTATGATCTGTGTTAATTAAGTGTAGTCATATGAGGCCATCCCTCTCAAAGCTGCAGACAGATTCAATTCTTTGAAGAATGAAATCATGCAATAGAAATCCAGTGTTGTGGCATAATGTCTTACAGGAATAATATTGCTTGTCTCTAAAGAATAGGGTAAACAAATTATTTAATTAGAGTAATAAAATTACATTTCCAGAATTGCCCATTATTTCCTTTTATCTCTTTATCCCAGCAGCAAGTGTGACAAGCTAAGTTCCACTCTGAGACATTAACAAGCACCGGAGGAGAAACAAGTCTGTAATGTGAAGGCCAAACAATACAAAGTAATCAACTTATCAAATTTTTAAGTCATATTATCTTTATAAGTGAGTAAAATAACGCTATAATGCATGATCTTCCTTCTGTTTAGTGGCTCACCATGAAAAGAAGACAAACAGAATATTGACCAACAGATGGAGCTAAAAGGAATGTTTGCTCATAAAGACACTGTATTACATCAAACTTTGAGTTAATTACAAAATGTAGTCCACATATACACTTGCATAAACTCAATTTAACCTCAAGTGATGTATAATTGTTAAACCTGAACATGTTTGGACTTCCAAAGAACATTAATTCATCTTTTAGTCCTGACTGTGTTTGTGTGCTCCCTTGGTATCTTTCTTCCTGGATGATTTAGATCATCAGTGATGTAATCTAAAACCAAATGAGTCAGTTCTCCACAACCTGACAATACGAATAAATAATAATTTCTGTAAATAAATCACTGTGTCTGTTGCAAATGGAGGTTTTCACCACAATGCTATAGCACTAGGGATGGGCGATACCACACTTTTAGGATTCGATACAATACCCATACTTTTTCTTGCAATTTTTTCTGCACACCGATACTGATCATTTCCTATTGGCAATTTTTTTTCAGTCAAAATATTATTACACTTAAGGCAAATCACATGACAAATACTGGCCATGTATCCCAAATGTATTATGTGCAATACATAATAAAACAAAAAGTTAAATAACATAACGTAAATATGAATGAAATAAATTAAATATGAACAAAAACATGCACACTTTCCTCACTTATTTCTAAAAAAAACAAAAAACTGTATGTTGAAGTAAATATGTAACAGTGTACCCTTTCACTGAAGTAACAAAAAGCAGAAACAAGAGAGGTGTTTGACATTAACTTTGTAAAGCACAAAACAGATGACAGAACAGTAATAACAGAGTTAGTAGAAATTTGTTACATTTATTTATTTATTTTTAAGTATTTTGGGGGGCTTTTTATTGCCTTTATGATAGTGACAGCTGAAGACCGGGCCGGCTGAGTCGCACGTTTGACGCTCATATTGTTCCCTTGTCACGTGACACGGGCCAGCTCAATACGTCGCCAGGTACGGGGGTGACTCGGCACATAGTAATTGAAGTAAGCTATGCAAAACAGCTGAAAGTGATGCATGCACCCCGGTTCTTATTTGTTAGTTGACATCGATATTTGTTTAAGGAAATCGATGCCACACGAGTAGCGTGTGAGTATCGATATATCGATACCACAGGATCGATACGCCCATCCCTATCGTATGTATCTGTGTGGCTTCCTGTAGAGATAGGTCATCCACCTCACGGTTATGCCCGACTCTTTAACCTCAGTCAACAGTCTCTACTGTTTCTGTCGTTGGTGAATCCTGATTGATCGTAATGAGTTTGGGGAGCTCAGACATGACTGGAAGTGCATTGGGAACTGTCTTTTCCCTCCTGCTCCTTGCCTCTAATATACAAGGTAATCCTGGACCACATGTTCTGTTGCTCATATTATATAGCTGCAAAGATATTCGCCATGGGTTTGAAATGTGTATCGGCTTCTGGTGTGACAAGCTGCCTCAGTATAATGCTCTGATGTTATCTGCCTGCATCCCAGTGGACTGCAGTCTGTAATATCAACTTAAAAGTATAGGTTATTTTGTCTCCTCACTTTTCTTGTTTCCAATGTTATCTGATGTGCTTGACAGGTCGCTGGGAAGTTGAGGTGTTCCATAATGAAAAGATGGAGGCAGTAGAGGGCCAGGACGTTACCTTACCCTGTACTGTAAAAAACAGTGCTGGTATGCAGATTGTCTCTATTGAATGGAGTAAGAGTAATAACAACAACAACGAAAAGCTGGTTGTGTTTAATCCAATCTTCGGAGTCCACACATTTTGGCCTAATGTCACCATCCAAATTGAGAACAAGTCAATGGGCTCCAATCTAAAACTTTCTGGGGTGACAAAATGGGACAGTGGTATCTATATTTGTGACCTTTCAATGTTTCCTATGGGTTTCATCAGGAGAGAAACAGAGCTAACGGTCAAAGGTAAGACGAAGGCAGATACATGCCAAGCCGTACTCACATACCTCAAACAGACTCAAACAGTATTCACAAGATTTAATATTTGAATGATAATGCAGTAACTTTCTATCTAATTATCCATTGCATATATTTAATGTTACTCCTGATTACATCAGAACGCTGCTCCTCTGCCAATCTCAGCGGTTATTTACTTCTGAGCAAATGTATGTAATAATTGCAAGAACACTTTTCTTGTTTCCAATGTTATCTGATTGCTTGACAGGTCGCTGGGATGTTGAGGTGTTCCATAATGAAAAGATGGAGGCAGTAGAGGGCCAGGACGTTACCTTACCCTGTACTGTAAAAAACAGTACTGATAGCCAGATTGTCGGTATTGAATGGAGTAAGAGTAATAACAACAGCAACGAAAAGCTGGTTGTGTTTAATCCAATCTTCGGAGTCCACACATTTTGGCCTAATGTCACCATCCAAATTGAGAACAAGTCAATGGGCTCCAATCTAAAACTTTCTGGGGTGACAAAATGGGACAGTGGTATCTATATTTGTGACCTTACAACATTTCCTATAAGTTCCATCAGGAGAGAAACAGAGCTAACGATCAAAGGTAAGACAAAGGCAAACACATGCAAAGCCGTACTCACATACCTCAAACAGACTCTGCAGTATTCACAAGATTTAATATTTGAATGATAATGCAGTAACTTTCTATCTAATTATCCATTGCATATATTTAATGTTACTCCTGATTACATCAGAACGCTGCTCCTCTGCCAATCTCAGTGGTTATTTACTTCTGAGCAAATGTATGTAATAATTGCAAGAACACTTCTGCAGTAAGAGCTTACTTTCAGTTCATTTTCATCCAGCGGACACTCCAGGAAGTTACTACTACTGGGGAAGAAACAGTTCCAGCATTTAACTCCCCATGAAACCACAACTTGTTGGTTTCTTATTTTGGTTTGTTCGGATTAAACAATCAAGGTATAAGATGTAAATTAGGGACCTTTAGAGGTTGGTGGGCAGATTTTGATAACTTTAGAACCAGGGTAACTGTTTGCCCCTAATTCTAAGCTAACTGGCAACATTTTTACCGTACAGATATGAGTGGCATTGATTTTCTCATTTAACTCAAGCAAGAAAGCGATTAAGTATATTTACCAACAGGTGAAAATATGCTATTAACTTGAATGCTGTTAACATGTACAAACAGATTTTCTATATCAGATATTTCTTATGTTACAAGTATGCGCTATGGAGCTCCGAGAAATGATGTTTCTGATACTGCAGATACAAAATCAAAACAGTACTGTGCATTGTTGGTGACAGGATGTTTAATATAGATTTCCCTGCTTTGCTTCTTTCAGATGTTGCAGAATATTGACCAACAGATGGAGCTAAAAGGAACAATTGCTCATAAAGACACTGTATTACATCAAACTTTGAGTTAATTACAAAATGTAGTCCACATATACACTTGCATAAACTCAATTTAACCTCAAGTGACGTATAATCGTTAAACCTGAACATGTGAAGACTTAATTAATAAAAGTTAAGTTTGTTCCAAAGAACATTAATTAATCTTTTAGTCTTGATTGTGTTTGTGTGCTCCCTTGGTATCTTTCTTCCTGGATGATTTAGATCATCAGTGATGTAATCTAAAACCAAATGAGTCAGTTCTCCACAGCCTGACAATAAGAATAAATAATGTCTGTAAATAAAGCACTGTGTCTGTTGCAAATCTGCTTTGCACCAGAGGTTTCCACCACAACGCTTCAGCACTACACAAATGACTCACTCGTACGACTCTGTGTGGCTTCCTGTAAAGATAGGTCATCCTGTTCTCTGTCTCACGTCTGTGCCCGACTCTTTAACCTCAGTCTACAGTCTCTACTGTTTCTGTCGTTGCTGAATCCCTCAATGGCTTCAGCCTGATTGATCGTAATGAGTTTGGGGAGCTCAGACATGACTGGAAGTGCATTGGGAACTGTCTTTTCCCTCCTGCTCCTTGCCTCTAATATACAAGGTAATCCTGGACCACATGTTCTGTTGCTCATATTATATAGCTGCAAAGATATTCGCCATGGGTTTGAAATGTGTATCGGCTTCTGGTGTGACAAGCTGCCTCAGTATAATGCTCTGATGTTATCTGCCTGCATCCCAGTGGACTGCAGTCTGTAATATCAACTTAAAAGTATAGGTTATTTTGTCTCCTCACTTTTCTTGTTTCCAATGTTATCTGATGTGCTTGACAGGTCGCTGGGAAGTTGAGGTGTTCCATAATGAAAAGATGGAGGCAGTAGAGGGCCAGGACGTTACCTTACCCTGTACTGTAAAAAACAGTACTGGTATCCAGATTGTCTCTATTGAATGGAGTAAGAGTAATAACAACAACAACGAAAAGCTGGTTGTGTTTAATCCAATCTTCGGAGTCCACACATTTTGGCCTAATGTCACCATCCAAATTGAGAACAAGTCAATGGGCTCCAATCTAAAACTTTCTGGGGTGACAAAATGGGACAGTGGTATCTATATTTGTGACCTTTCAATGTTTCCTATGGGTTCCATCAAGAGAGAAACAGAGCTAACGGTCAAAGGTAAGACAAAGGCAGATACATGCAAAGCCGTACTCACATACCTCAAACAGACTCTGCAGTATTCACAAGATTTAATATTTGAATGATAATGCAGTAACTTTCTATCTAATTATCCATTGCATATATTTAATGTTACTCCTGATTACATCAGAACGCTGCTCCTCTGCCAATCTCAGTGGTTATTTACTTCTGAGCAAATGTATGTAATAATTGCAAGAACACTTCTGCAGTAAGAGCTTACTTTCAGTTTATTTTCATGCCTCTGGCCTATTGTTTTTCCCTCATCAGTCGTATAGTTGTCGTGGGCACAATACACCTTTACATTCTTTTCAGCTGCAAGTGACCTGAAGGTATATTATGATCCAGACAGAGGCAGAGGACAGTTACAGAAGGTGTTGTTTATGTGTACTGCATCAGACTTTATATTTATTATTTTTGTGTTGTCAATCCAAAATAATCTCATATTTTTTCTCTATTAGATGCTGATGTTAAATTAATGTGTGATAACAATAGCACAGTTGAGGTCCATGCTGGAGGAAATGTGACCATTCACTGCACAGCGTCCCCTAATGCACAGTTCTGGTGGATCAAGGTAACGGGAAATCAGTTAATCAGCCCATTTCTGCCATTCCAGTGAATTTCACTTTATTCAATGTACGTCAAGATGATCTGATTACCTCTGACATCAAAACCTACAACACAAAAACATCTTTTCAGTGTGACAGGTATTCATACTCTATGCTTCATAATCTTGTTTTGCGGCCAGAACAAGATGCTGGTGTCAGAGAATGAATATCTGGAGCTCTTGTGGGTGACTGATGCTCACGCGGGGGTTTACACACTGACTGTCGAAACAGGAAGCAAATATCTGCACACAGAGTTTATCATCACAGTGGTAACAGCAACCACAAGCTTAAAGACAGGTGAGCTTCATTTCTTTTCTGCTATTTTTCTCTTTGTGTCGTATTCAATTTCAGCATTTCCTCAGGGCTGGATTAACAATCTAGCAGAGGGCCCAAGAGACTGAATGACTTAATAAACTGCACTGGACCAGAGAGCTGATACTTGACTTTTGTTATTATAGTTCAGCTCATTCAATTTTAATTTTAATTAGCTGAAAGGAAAGGGAGAGATTCAAAGGATTTTGAAGCTGCCAGCCATGTTATGAGAACATACCAGTAACTGTGAATAAAATGAGAACTACAGAACTTTTAGAGTGAAACTCTCAATTATTTGGTGCAAATCAATTCCCCCGTGTGATTTAGGGTTAATACTGAACTAAGTTGAACTAAAACAGCATTCAGTTTCCAATTGTAAAACAACCAAACTGCATGTCGTCGTCCCCCCACTGGGGATATGGTTTAGTATAACACTGTGATGGGCTCTGCTTAAGCAGGAAAGTAATGTCTACTTCTCATCCTGTATACGTGTGTCTCATGAGAATTTGAATACGAAACAAAAGAGAGAGCACAAGCCACACAGACGTGAGAAGTTCACTTCCTGCTCTCTCTACTTTCAAACCACATGAGCAAACACACTCAACAGAGCCTCAGCAGCGTCTCTAAATAATGACATGGGGTGAGAGCACAATCTATTGGACACACTGGAGTAGTACAGCCCAAATGAAGGGTTGAAATGATGCTAGTAAATAAGAACAATTTGGCACAATTTCAATCTCAGCTGTGTCTCAAAGGGGATGTCAGCTGAGATAAAAAAAAATTGATCTGTACAGGTGTCTTTATGGGGCTATGCAAGGTAGCAGAGAAGAATTGACACAAAATGGATTAACTGAACTCATTACTTAGGAATACATATACAACGTACCATTGAATTTGCAATTCATGCCCACTCCGTTGCCTCAGGAATCGGTGCCTACAGCTTCACGGTCCAGGTTCTTGAATGAGCTCTTTGACTTACTTTACCTATTGATTATGCACAAAGTGCACATAAATAACAACCCTGTCACTGTTTTAATGAAGTATCACTGCGCTGGGTATTTTAAAGTTCTTTGGTGAATAACTGATTCTGACTTTCTACTCTTTTTTTTAGTTTTCCAATGTGAAGCTCGTTAAAGGAACAGTTCCACATTTTGTGTAAAAAGACAACTTGCTATTTCTTAGCTGGGAGCAGTTGCCAGGCAACCAGCGGACACTCCAGGAAGTTACTACTCCTGGGGAGGAAATAGTTTTAGCATTTAACTCCCCATGAAACCACAACTTGTTGGTTTCTTATTTTGGTTTGTTCGGATTAAACAATCAAGGTATAAGATGTAAATTAAGAACCTTTAGAGGTTTGTGGGCAGATTTAAAAAAAACTTTAATTCTAAACTGGCTACTGGTTCCTGCTACATTTTTACCGTACAAGCATTGATTTTCTCATTTAACTCAAGCAAGAAAGTGATTAAGTATATTTCCCAACAGGTCAAACTATGCTATTAACTTGAATGCGGTTAACATGTACAAACAGATTTTCCATATCAGATATTTCTTATGTAACAAGTGTGCGCTATTGAGCTCCGAGAAATGATGTTTCTGATACTGCAGATACAAAATCAAAACAGCACTGTGCATTGTTGGTGACAGGATGTTTAACATAGATTTCTCTGCTTTGCTTCTTTCAGATTTTGCGACAGTGTCACCACAGCCTAATGTTACTCAGGACGGTTTGACCGAATCAGCAGACAGTGGCCTTACCACATCACAGAGCAATGGGCTTTCAACCATTGACACCAACGTAACCTGGACCATGAGTACGGACACTGACGTAACAGATGGAGAGCATAAAGTCTCTTATACAAGTCATACACATATCAGTGACACATCATCCCCTGCCACGCACACTGACCCCTATCACTTCAACTACTCCACTGATCAGGAGATAAACACATCCACCACTTCTGACCAAGCAGTGGCCAGCAATCTATCCACAACACATAGTTATGGTAGTACATTGTCCACATCCACGCAGGAGACGTTGCTTCCAGGAGTCAATTCTTCAACTAGCCCAGATGAATCCAGCACCCTGAGAAACATTACAGAAAACTCTGACAACTGTGGTGCAAACAGAACTGGAAATATACTAGTCACTGAGGATGGAGGTAATAATTGCTTAATATTTCACAGTTAATTGGTCCATGTTGGCAATACCCTCCCATGAATGCTACTTTTCAAGGATAGAATCTGTGATCGAAAAATGATCAACAATGTGTTATACTGTGCATCTCCAGTCTTGAGTGTCAGAGTCCCAGAATCATCCAACATCCCTTTGTTTGCCTGAAATTGGCTTTTTAGAGCTCTTAGATTGTTTTGGGCACATAATTTGTTCTTCTGCCAACGTGGTTAGCATTGTTTGTGGTTTACGAGGTGAGCCAAAGTAACAAAGCTAAATGCTCAACAGGCAAGGCCCATTAAAAAGTACAGATGAATATTAGCCATAGTTTATTTGCCTTCCCCATCTGCATCTTCATCACTTATGGAGGCTAACTTCTGGGGTTGGAGTCTGACCAGCGGAGAGGGAGGACTGCAGGACACACATTTCTGCCTCAAGGCAAAAGGTTTCATATTGTAGCTTTACATTTATTATCAATATTTGTTGGAGTCTGCTAGGTTTCACCAGAGCAAGCTGGTCAATATCTTACAAGCACATGTTTAGCTGCTGTTGTTCTCCAAAATGACACTTTCTCCCTCTCTGAATATGCTTCCTAGATACTGATCGTGTACGGAGTCATCTTTTGTTGGTGTTAACCCTCATTCCACTGCTGGTATTGATCGCTGTGTTTGGCTTCCTCTACAGGAAACGAATTATAAAGGAGAGGTAAAATTCTTGTTACCTATCCATTCAAGCATCCTCTACACCTGCTTGCATTTATTCAGGGTCATGCACTGGGTGACCCTGAAAGACATGAAAAATCAATGGATCCAATAGATGAACATGACCTATAACAACTCCATGCTTCTTGGACGGAGCTAACTTTCTAGTTATGCCACCAGTCAATATCTGTGCTCTCTCTCTCTCTCTCTGTAGGATGGATCTACCGCCTCCGTTCAAACCCCCTCCTCCTCCAGTCAAGTATACATCTGCAAGACACTGTGAGATTTCAACACAGCCTTTCCCCACTTCAAGGTGTAACTCTATATCAGAACCGATATGACGCAAAAGTTTGTATATGATGTTTGATATATTGCACAATGACAGTTGATAAATTGCATGCAGTAATTGTGGGGGTGCAGTGTAAGCTGTATCCAGTTTTGATTACATGTAGAATTACAAAATGTATTTTCCATAGTAGTTGCAGGCAAAGGTACAAATGTGGGTTGTGTGTGTATCTGCGTTGGGTGGGGCCTTTGGTATTGTGTATAAAATGTGTTTATGGTTCTTATTTTTTGTATCAAATGTATTAAAATTAAAGCAATGCAATAATAATAATAAATAAATAAATAAATAAAAGCTGGTTTAATTTCACTCTGAAATGACTGTGAACACTACAGGTGCTTGTGTTAATTACTTTTTCTTCTCACATTCTTGCAATATTATATTCACTGTATCTTTCTAATACATTCATTTGGATTTCCCAGCTATTGTATCTTATGCAGCAGTAAACAAGCACTCTATTTGCATATAAACAGAGCTGTATATGGCTGATCTATGTACTGCGTTATTTACAGATCTGCCTTTCATCTGTGATTTAGGATTTCCTGCCCAGGAGCCCAATGACTTCTTATAACATCACTATAACACAGCTGTTTAGTGCTGATGTTGTGAACTGAGTGGTGGGTCTATATCAAAGACCAGTGTTGTCCACATGTACCACAGAGTGACACTTGAGTTTACAAAGCGGGGCCTAAGCCACAAACCACAGGGGCCAAATGGCTAACAAATGCAACAACCACTAGATACCATCATACACACACAGAAGAAATTAGTGTTAATATAAATAAAATATAGCTTTGCATGTTTTTGAGTAACTACTGTTTTTATTCTTATTTTGTAGTCCTGTGTTGATTATCTCTTTGATGATTTCGGCTACTTTAAAAATTGCAGACCACACTTAGTGGACTCTCATTTTGTTTCTCTGTAACCCTTTTTTTTATCCCCCACTGTACATACACACATTCACACACACTTGCGCATTTAGCTGTACTTAGAATCCTTCACAAGTGCATTTTGTCATCTGATTTTCCGACCACAGTAGCAAAACCACAACGTAATGTGCGTATGCACAATATAGATTCTTGTTATACATGGAGCTAGCAAAATAGTCATACAGCATTTGTGGTTTATACTTTAGTGTTGGTTTTAGGTCAAGCTCATTATCAGGTTTAGTAAATTAAAAGGTAAAAAAAGTTAATTTGAAATCAAAATTCTCCTGAAAATGTTTTGTCTTTTTAGAGTGAAATGGTTTTTTTGCTGGTTTATTTGTTTCTGTGCTGACGTTTTAAAGTTCACACATTTTTAAATAAATACTAAGGTTGCTAACAAATGTTTATAAACCATTGTCATCTTTAGATAGTAAAATGGTGATCTAAGTGACATTGTAATGTATCTCCCAATGGTATTGAGACTACGTGCCTCAGAATGAGGTTACATTGTTTCCTGTTTGTAACTGAAGAGCAGCCAGTTTTCAAAGCACAGTGATAAGAGAGAGGTAACTAGGCGAGGTAAAAATAGACTACAGTGTAGCACACCTCACTGACTAAACACTGTGATGCCCTGTAGCCTGAGAGCAGACAGACAACACGTTTTGTTCAAGACGGCTGGAATATGGGAGGTAGGATCCTAACAACTTTCAGAACTTTTTAAATTATATTTAGATTTCCAAACTTGTATCTAACATTGCTACATTGTACATGTTCATGTAAATATTTAATGTTTCCGTTGTTTTTACCACAAAAACTGAAAAAGTTGAATCATTCCTAAAGCATAATTTTACAGAATACGGCAGAACTAAAGGTGAAAGTAAAGATTATAGATTATAACATCAACCCAATGAGCTGATAATTGTGTATGTATAACGGTACACCGCTGTTGTTTATTGCAGTTCAGTATCCACACAGAACCTAGTTTTGTTGTTGTCATAGTACGTACGTGAATCATGTGCAGCACACTTCCGAAAACATTTTTTAACCAAATTATTTATTTGACTTAAAAAGTCAAGAAGTTAAGATATGTAAAACTGTAGTTACAGCAGGAAGAATTAATTTCCTGTGAAATGTGTCAGTATTGTTAAGTTGAAATTGGTACAGTACGCATTTACATATAACCAAGCAAAAAATTACGGTTTAACCTCTAGACTATTTTTTTTGGAAAAGCCACACTCAGATGTTCCATTTGCAGTAGCACATGGTTTATACACTTGTAGAATTCACTAATAATTTTAGAATGGCCGTAACATGCATAACATGGTTACAACCTTCTCAGTTTTTCCTCAGTTTTCTTCTCTTAACTAACCTTAACAGGAATTGACAGTTAGGCTACTGCTGAAGAACTTTAATGCATGTTGTTTGTCACCGGCACAAAAGTGATGACACATCCTAAAAAGGTTTCATCTATTCTGTTTGTTATTGAGATGAGATAGAGGGAAATTCCAAACAATATTAGTAATAGCTGATAAAAAGTCTGAAATTCTACACACTGATTTAGAAATCTCATCACTTTTTGATTCACCACGGAGAGAAGTTTGAAGGTTTGCGTTGTTAATGGTCAGTTTGTGTTTGTTTTTTAGAGTGTAAACTTGAACTGATTGGTCTGGCGCTGTTATCTCCGGCCCTGTTGATCTCTTTGTGTCTCAATATCATCTTCTGGATCCGACGAAGAGCCATTTTGTGTGGAGGTATAATTATATGTAAAGTAATTTTTTCTGGCATATTGTTTTGCTTTTCTAAATGTGGCCACCGTTGATTATAAACCTCTCTCAGCTTTTACAAGGACAACAGGGTATTCTATAAATTGTTAAATATTTTATTTATACAGACAGAGATGACTGCTGCAATCCACACATTTATGAAGGAGAAAGGTATGCTTTTTATTTATTTTCTTAAATGCGTGTCCATGTCAGCCCATCATTATTTAGCCCAATACATCTTATTTTGTAATAGGTAATAATTGGTATTCCAATATTTCCACAAATGACATCTGATCGTTAAAAAATAAACTGTGGAATTGTGCGTCTATATCTTGTTTTAGCCTGTCACAGGATGCAGGGCATTATTTTCATAACCTCAATCATCATGAGGAGCAGGAAAATCCCCACAATCATCATGAGCAACAGGAAAATCCAATCTATGGCAACATCAACACAGACAGACGAGGTGAGCGCAGGCCTGCTTTCTGTCACCTTGAAAAAAATGAATACCGGGAAATGATTGCATATTTAAGTGTATCGCTCAGTCTATCACAAAAAAAAATATTTTTGAGCCATGCATAGTCTGTCTACACATTTTATTTTTTTTGAAAATAATTATAATATAACTGTTTCCTTTTTTCTGTATTTGTAGACAGTATATTTTCTTCAACCACCATGTGGCCACATTTTAGGAGCATTAAAGTTGTGTATTAAAACAAGCTGAAACTTCATTTGGATCACGCCAGTTATAATTTAAATAAATGCATACATAAATGCATTTAGATAAAACTGTACAGATTTCCTTTTTACCCACTGTTTAAATCCTTTTAGATCTTCCATATTTAGATGCATTGTTTATAGTTAATTTGTCAGTAGAGCTAGATGAGCTTTTAAAAATCTAGATTTTTGTTTTCCTTCATTTATGTGATTCATGGGGCGCCCGGTAGCTTACCCGGTTGAGCGCTCCCCATGTACTAAGGCTGAGTCCTTACTGCAGTGGCCCAAGTTCGATTCCAACCTGCAAACCCTTTGCTGCATGACCCCCCCCCCCCACTCTCTCTCTTTCTCTCTCTCCACTTTCCTAAAAAAAAAAAAACTTTCCTAAAATAACGGTATAAAAAGCCCAAAATATGCAAATGATGTGTGTCAACTGTAGAATGTACAATAAATGACCAAATCATGTGTTTTACTTGCTCAGGTTCGCTAGAAGTTTGTTACGAGATGATGACCATGCAACACACAAGAGATCGTATGAAGGTAATTGCTGTGACTGTATGTTCAGAATAGTAATCTCTCTGGAGGATCATTACATGTAGGGACTGACAGCATTATCGCAGCATGAAAACAAAAAGGAAAAAACTTTAACGTTTTCCTGTGCGATGTGGTGAAGGGTTCATTTTTCACATGCTTGATGTCACTGATTTCCACTGACATGTGCATTTTGCCTGGGGTGCATGCTAGAGATCATGAAATTGTTAAGCCTCTCTAAAGCTTTGTCTCTCCAATACAAAAGATGAAATATAGTGAATGTAACACGCACTAAAGGTAACAAGCAAAAATGCATTTGTGAGTTGTTTACAAAGTATAATCACAATCTAAACAATCACAATTTGTTATCATATCTGATATTGTGTATTTGTTGCTGAATCTAAATATTTGATAAGAAGCATTTCATTTAAACACAGACATGTAGTTTAAACCCATGCTGACATATTTGCTTTCAAAACGGAAGGCAGCTTGTCACTATAGACATTGTGGTCAATGCAACTCTGAACCAGTGAACACAATTAAGCACACAATGTTCTAAAAATAAACCCGATGTACAGAAATACATGAGAAGATACTGCCACAAGATTCCACCTTGAATATAGTAGTGCTGAAGCATTTTTGTCTAACAGCATTTTACAAACCAACACGTTTTGTCTCCACTGTCTGAAAGCAGTCATTAGAGCCTGACCTGAATTATGCCTCGCTGGATCTGAAGGTGGCAAATAAACACAAGAAGAAGCACCGCCATCAGCAGGGCCACACTCAGGGACGAAACAAACCGCACGATCAGCTGCCAGTCGACCTCACGCCCCCTGGGAATGCTTTCTTGGAGGTGGAAGCGGATATGGATGCTCAACTTCCTTCCAGAGACACCAGCACCATGGTCTCACACAGTAGCATCTACCTGAACAGCCAACAGATAGCCCAAGAGACAGAGGTGATGGAAAGAGAAAGGGGCATAGACATGGAGAGGGAGAATGTGGGTTGGGAGGGAAAGAGAAGGCGGGAGGATGGCGGGAGTAGAAAATGGACAGGAGAGCAAGAGAGTGAGGAAAGAAGAGACAGACAAGATTGTAATGGAAGTATATGTACACAGCTTTCAGAGGTAGAGGCTATTCAAAGTGGCACAGATCATTTCATCAGCAGCTTTAGCCATGATAGTGTCCAACAAGATTAGGCATACATCATACTAAGACTGTTCATTTCAAGCTGTTCAGAACTGAATAGGCCACCTGAAAAAGCCAATAACAGCCATTACTGTGTCTGCCAGAATGAAAATATCCTCTTCAATACTCAACAAGCTTCATGCAGTTAAGCAATTTCCTCTCTGGTGCGAGCAAACTACCTCTAGAACTCTTGGGCAACTGGGAAACAAAGGTGTGTACCTTTCTGTGCAGAGGATGTAATAAACGTAGAGGATGCAAATAGAAAAGGAAACTCTGTGTTTGACATTTAGAGGTCAAGAGTCACGTGGAAATTTTCTAATTTGTTGCGAAAGACAAGGAAAACATCAAAACATCAGAGGACACGGAAGATCTTGCACTGTTGTGATGTCTCATAATCAGACATCAACAGATGTCTCACAGAAAGGTGTGAAGGGGGGAAAAAAAAAAATCTTTACATTTGTTTTCCATGCTGTAGGCGTTGGCCAAGTCTTGAGAGGTGACACTTTTCTTGAATAAATGTACTTCCTTAAGCAATAAGCAAATCTGCTTTTCAGCCATGTTATGACTGAAGATATAATTAACATGAAGATCAAATTAAAGCCAAGAAAGTAAAAAAGAGGGGAAACCTACAAGTAATGTAATTTTTGTTTCCCTGTGGGCATATTGTTATGTAAATGTCACCCACAAAGGATTTTCCACGTCAGAGTTATGATAATGGTCATTAGCTCTATAATCTATTGCATTTATGGGCTAAAGCACCATCTGCTTAAATGATTATTCCCCTCTTTTTAATCCCCTCTTGGGAAGGATAATTTACTGCCCTGCTTTCTGCTGCGGGAACCGAGCTTTGAAATGAACTTAGCAGTCGGAGGCCTGCAGCCACAAACCGTCTGTTGACAGTTTTTCAATAGCTGACCATGGCCTACTTCCCTTCTATGGATTAATATTTGGCCTCAGGCGTTCTGGATCTAACTGTTGCAGATATACAGTACAGTGAAAGCAACAGAAAAGGACACACACAAATAACAGAGCAATATTAGTCAAATCTTTGTATGAAAAAACCTGGAAATATTTTTCTTTCAAAATATATAGTGTATCCATAGAGATCGACCCTTTGTCACTGTGAAGCTATAATTAATAGGATGTTATAAGTAAATTAATATCAGCTAGATTCTAAAAGCATAGGTATAAGTGATTGACACCATTGCCAAGAATCCTTACACTTTGTATCAGTCTCTGCATTACATTTTACACCGTATGCCCATCAGCTGAATTTCAGGATGTTTCCTTGGCTTGCTTTGGGTGACATAATGACAGGTACTCTTTTTTTATCTGGCTCAACCAGAGCAAAGGTTTTTAAGGTGTCTTGCAATAGCAGATGGTGGAATGATGAAAAGGAAAACTGTGTGTGTGTGTGTGTGTGTGTGTGTGTGTGTGTGTGTGTGTGTGTGTGTGTGTGTGTGTGTGTGTGTGTGTGTGTGTGTGTGTGTCTTTGTGTGTCAGGAAGGAGTTACACAGAAATGATGCTACGGTAAAACTGTGATATCTTAAAAGATGGCTTCACAATTTTGGATGGCTGTCTCAAACAACAGTCTGATGCCCATATGAACATTGAAACAGGTTTTTACATACTGGAATTATTCATCTGTCCTGTTTATAAAAATCCCTTCCAAATGTGCTTTCAATAGAACAAATCAAGTCCTCCAAAGTTAGTCTTTTTAAGGTATAGCTCGCTCTTTATGTTTCCTTGGACAGTGTTTCATAGCTGAGCTGCAGTGGAGGGATACTAACACAAAAGGGGAACTCTGTACTAAAAATACTTTCTCTAAGTTAGACTGCTGAATCTTCATTTTAGCTTCAGATAAACTTTGGAATCAATTTTCACACTTCCATTGCCTCCCATCACTTACACTGAAAATGTATGAGGAAGGGATCTTATGAACAGGAGGAATGAATTGTTTGACTTGACTTGTGGCTCAGAAAGAATATTTTAATGTGCTGAGGTAGATGAATCAAGTGCTAAAGCTACACTTTTATGCCTCTATACGTTGTGTATTATTCAACTGTAGATTTGATGAATTAAACTATTTTTTTTCACCTTATAACAATGATCTCTTAAAATAATTGTTATTCACAGTTTGCATTAAATATCCATGCTACATCCTCTTTCTCCTTGCAGCCTAGCACGTGTGTATGTATGTTAGCTATGTAAAGTTTATTAGGATTGGCTATTGGCTTGCAGGCCCTCTAGTGGCCAGAAGGAATAGTGTTATTTTTTTAATTTTTTTTATTTTAATAATTGTATTTTGGGCCCATAGGGTGTCGCAGTAATTGGTGTTACTGTAACCATAACACCTGTCTGAACTATATGTGTGTTTCCTGATCTGCCACCCCAAAGGTTAATAAGATTAAGTTCAGGGGCAATATAAGTTGCTTGACATAAAAGTCGCAAGCTTTGCATCGACCCAACATCCTTCCTTTCTGGGCCCACTGGCAACATAAAATCATGAAGTCTGTTTGGAAGTTATTGTTTTCAAGTCTTAATATCATACAAAGCAGTCCATTGGGACTTTTTCCATCAATACAACATCACAGTGTTTGTGCCTTTGATACTGAGACAGATTATCATTTTCTTGTCTGCAAGAGGTCACGTGAGGAGAACATAAATTACCAATGTTGTCATCTTCTTCTACATATATGCCTAAATAACCCAGGTTTATTTAAAAAAAAAAAACCATTTCAGGTGTGTACTCTCTACTTTGTTCTACTGGTCACTCACCTGTTGGCTCCAGGAAGATGATAGCAAACTAGCTGTTCGGCTCTTTGACTGAATGTGACAACAGCAGCCGCCAGGGTTATCAAATGCTAGCAAAATACTTGTTTTATATTAATAAATAATGTAAGTTTGTAATTCTACTTGGAAAATGGACGGCAACACTCAAAAGTGCATGTCAACTTTTCAACCATTGATGCTTATGGGACACATGCTAGTTCGGTGAGGAGGTGGGTCTCCTTGTAACATCTTCTATCTCCTTTTTTTACTAAGAATTCAACTATTAGGATGAATATGGACGTATTATCAGGACAATGACATACCGGCTATTGCCACACAGTCCACATTTGGGAAAATACAATTTTTTTTCCAGAAATATCTTCAAAACAGTGGTTAGAGCTGTAAAAGTGTAATTATAATGTGATATAAATAATATAATATTTGTATATATCTTTCAGGAAAAAAGGAATAGGTAGCCTATCTAAAGATACCCAATGTAACCGCAACTAACTCCTCTCCTTCTTTTGGGTTGCAACCATCACTTATAAGGTGCATACCGCCACCTAGTGTAGCGGAGTATGTGGCATGAGTTATGGTTATACGAGACAATTTTACAGAATAATAATTAAAAACTAAATTAAATATATATATATATCCTTCAAATATTCCACAACAGCTTTCTGTGGTGTCCTTTAACCCCTCTGCTGTTCTGCAACTATCAACACCAGTGACAATAACACATACGAAAAGACGGCCAGATTTTGAAACCGGAAATGGAAGTTGCTTTTTCCTTTTTTTTTTTTTTTTTAATACGACCGAGTGAAGCGTCTTCCAGGGCGGAGACGATCTTCGCTACCAACATGGCAGCGCGCATGTGAATGTCATGCGATCTCAGTCCATTACGTGTATCCGCATGTGTTTGCGTGCTATCAGTGATAACGTTAAAGCTGACATGTACATGAAGCTTTGATCCACCTCAGACAGCAGACAGCTGAGCATCGGGGGAACCATCACTTACTCGGCCAACATCAGCTGACCGGCTCTTGATGTTAGCATTTTAGCTAAGCAGTAATCAACTACAGACGGACTCACGATGGATCCCGACCAACAACTGAGGAATGTAAGTCACACTCATATGATTTGGCAGCTACATGTGGCTTTACTTGCAAAATGCTTGATGCTGAGTTTGAGGGGTTAATTCTGTCTCTTGCAGCTGCGGGATTTCCTTCTGGTTTACAACCGCATGACTGAAATTTGCTTCCAGCGATGCAGCAGCAACTTCAACTACAGGAACCTCACCATGGACGAGGTAAGACTACTGGAAAGATCTGAAATACCGTGAGAAATACCGCGATAATAGAAATACCGTGGCAACTAGAAGCGTAGACACATCTACATACAGTTGCAACTCTGAGTGTGATTGTTCTGCAGTGTGTCGGTGTCTTTTCTTAAGCATATAAGGACATGGTTATAAGTATGCAGACACATGCACATTAAACATATATATGTTTGTGTTGAATATCTAGAATATCATTGCAGGCTGTAGTTTTTTAAGTTCCTCATTGACTGAAACCAAACCCTGACCGTTTGTGGATGGCGGAGCTGGACTTTTTAGCCATATCCTGTAGTTATCTGCTCATTGCCTCTCTGATTGCTGTTGTCTGTCTAGGAACGCTGTGTGGACAGCTGTGCGGGGAAGCTGATTCGCTCTAACCACCGCCTGATGGGCACCTACGTGCAACTCATGCCTCGAATGGTGCAGCGTCGGATGGAGGAGATGGAGAGCAAGGCTGCAGAAAACGCCAAGGCAGCGGAGGCGGCTGCTTCTGCGTACGTGGAGCCTCCCGCCGCCGAAGCCTCAGTGGCGTCTCAGACCCCCGTCTTCTCATCTCTGCCCCCACAAGTACCTCCGCTGTTAACTCCCTTGGTGACTGATGTTGGACCAGAGGCCCACGGTTCAGTCTCAAAGCCAGCAGGATTAGATATTCCAGTTGAGCTCAACGCTGCTGTGTCCACAACAGCTGCAGAGGTCAAATTATCAGCTGCCACAGCGCTTACACCTGCAGCTGAGGCTGTAAGGCCCTCAGTGTTTAATGATGCTGGCAACGGACCATCTTATACAGCAGGCTTTTCTCAACCACCGATAGCTGGTGCACAAATTGCGTTTGAGAACTCAGCACCTGTGTTTATGCCATCTAACCCAGCATCCATGTCAGCAGACGTGCCTGTGTCTACAGTAGCCGCACCTACAGTGTCTAAATCCACAGAGAGCCCGTCAGGCCGAGAGAGAGCCCCAGAGGTTCCCCCGCCGTCAGGCCAGTAATGATTGCCAGTCTGGGTCTGTCTAAGGTGGGCAAACTGTTAGATATGTCCCTGACTCCCACCAAAAACAACCAACTCAACACTGGCAGTCCCAGATGTGAAATTCTCTGTATTGCTGATGAGTTGATGAATAAATGATCAATATAGTGATATAGATTATAAAATAACATAAAGGACTATTCATATGTATCATCATGTATTATAACCTTTTCTGGCCACAGTCTCTCCAATGTGAGCATTTGTTGTTTCTTCTGTTTTCATATTGTAAACCTGTCTGAGGTTTCTTACTATTTTACAAATTTAGCAACTTGAAGACGTCACTTCAGACTCGTAACTCTTGCAGGCATCACTCAATTATGAAAATAATCTGAAATTTAGCTTTAGTGCCCTGACATCTCCTATGATGAGAATAGCAATTATTCGCTAACTATTTGTTATGATAATAACAAAACCAAATATGCAGACATTAAATTGGTGTAACTGTTATTGTTTGTTATTAAGTTGTTATAACTGTGTGTGTGTGTGTGTGATGGCAGTGATATTGCCGGTGAAAGTGAAGATTTCTGCACACTTAGATCCATGCAGTGATATCTAAGATCTTTAAGGATCAATCCTCGGCCTGCAGCTTTAGGACTACAGTTTCATGAGCCAGGAGGGCTACCTACACACACTCAGTCCCGATAATAATTGTTTTGTAAGGTGACACAGTGAATGCAGAAATTGACAACAATAAAAATTAGAGTATTCATTACTATTCTTTGAATGCTCCATTGACAACCTCTTGTATTTGTTGTTTGAAAACATGAATGGTCCTCCTGCCACCGGATGTCCTAAGGCAGCAGTGGGTTGGGGCGTATGCAGTGTTGTGGGTGGGTGTGAATTCTGTTTGTGACCTTTGTCTCACATCACCTCTCTCCTCCCATAATTTCCTGTCTTTGCACTAAACACACTCAGCTGTGATAAGCAATCTCAAAACAGCTTTCCCAGTGGCTTTTCTTCTCAACCACAACGTTTGTGACGTTCTTCAGCATAGCAATCTGCCAACACCTGTGGCAGTTAAGGATTGTAGAAGAAAATAAAGGTTTCTTGAGGTTAAGTATGACTAATTATGTTATGGTTAGTTTAAAATGTCAATGTTCCTGTTATGTGGTCATACAATAGTCAGGCTGTAGCATTCTTAAATAAACAAGTGTAAGGGATCCTCATCAAACACGTACTATCTTCTTATATTAACTAATTGATCATATGAATGCATTCTCTCTCATGGCAAATTACTTTGAAAGATGAAAGATTAATAAACAGTGGTGGAAGAAATGTTTACTTTACTTAACCTTTACCTAAGTAGCTACCCCATGCTACACAACAAGCACAAGTCCTGCAATGAAAACCTTATTTAAGTAAAAGTGTGTAAGTATTATCAGCAAAATGTACCCAAATTATCAAAAGTAAATACTATTTTTGCAGAGGTCCTTATCAGTGTTTTATATGTATGATTTTTTTAGTAATATTACTGCTGCATTAATATGTATGCTGCATTTCATTGCTGTAGTTGTTTAATGTTGAGCTAATTCGAAGCCCTTTATTTACTGTTGTGTAGTTTAATCTACAGCAATGTATTGTATAAGATCATTGTGTGTGTGACATTGCTGCCTCCTGTGGGAACCGTGTATCTGTAAAATGAGCTCAGAAAAGCAGTTTCTGAGTGCAGCTGTTTGACGATGCATGTTCTGGCTAATACAAGAATATAAAGCTGTGGGACACTCTATAGCTCACCTGGTAGAGCTGCTCCAGGTACCAAAGCTGAGTCCTTGCTGCAGCGGCCATGGGTTCGAGACTGACCTGTGGCCCCTTGCTGTGTGTTAGCCCCTCTCTCTATTTCCCATCAATTCTCAACGGTCCCCCTAAACAAACATATGTAATCTGAAAAGTGACTAGAAACTAAAGCTGTCTGACAAATGTAGTAAAGTAAAAGTACAGCACTTGAGTAAATCCATGAAGTTACGTTGCGCTATTTTATATAAATACAATTTAAAAACTGCCCATATCCCCTGTGCCACGGTGCCACC